TAAGCTCCTGTATCCAAGCAAACATGAAATGCTGACAAAGAAAAAAGACAACCTTGTTCTTTTGCTGTACTATGCCCTTCCCCTGTGCTTCTCTATGCTCCTTACCCATGTGCTTTCTCATACTACTTCTCCCTACACTCTTCCAGGCTCTCTCTACTGTGTACCTTATACTAATATCTCCTACTGTGTGCCTTGCACTATCTCCTGTGCTCTACTGTGTACTGTTTCCTGATCCTTCTTTTGAACAAGTGGTAGAATAGGGGTTGTAATAGCTTCCACAATGGCAAATGAACAGGGATCTGTGTCAACTGGGCAATTGGAAACCAGCTGAGTAATGGGCTGTAAAATAAAATGCTAAGCTTATTCACAGAAAAGAATCACTGAACTCACAGAAAAACTTTTCTCTTTCACTTTTCCTCACCTCCTTATTATGGCATACTCTACTTACTAATGGCAAATATAGGAAAATATATCTACTATGAGCAATGTCAATAAACTACAAAGTTCCCCCCCCGCTTCAGGTAAGTCCTTCTATCTATCTCCTGAGCAAACATACAAACTAATAAAGAAAAGGCAAACTCATGCCTCCTCCCCCTATTTATACAGGTACGTCCTCCATACAGAGGCAAATAAGAAAAACTAACAAAGAATAGAAAGACAAACTTGCACTTCTGCTGTATACCCTTCAGCATGCTTTCTAGCACTCCTTCTCCTGGCGTACTCCCATACTATCTGTTGTGCTCCAGTGCTCTTCTTCCTGGGCTCCTCCACTGTATACTCCTTTTCTCCACACACTCCTGCACTCTCTGTCGTGCTCTAGTGCTCTCCTAAGCTCCTTCCTGTGCTCCTACACTTCTGTCATGCAGTCCCTCGTGCCCCACTGGCACCATGCGCTCTCTCTCCTGCACCCTGCTATGTGCTTTCTCTCCTACGTCCAGCTGTACCCTTTCTCAAGCACCTTGGTAGCATGCTCTCTCAACAAAAACAAACAAGCAAGCAAACAATACAAGAAGGGAAGAAAGGAGGGACTGGAGGAGATAGGAGATAGGGAATTTGAATGGGGAGAGGAGGGAAAGAGTAGGAGGGTACCAGGCAGGTGTGGGGAGCAGTTTGGACTTCTAACACCTCCTTTGTATGCTCTCCCATGACACTGCAGTAGGGCTCTTCCAAGAAGAAAAAAATGAACAAACAAGCAAACTATGCAGCATGGGAATGGGAGGGGATAAGGGAATGGGGAAGTAGCGGGATAGCGAGGATACTGAGAATAGGGAATGGTACGAGTATACTGAGTAGCATCTTACTATTTCTAATAGTTTAGGAGAAGCAGACAAAAGAAGAGATGAAGTATTTCAATGAAATAGTTGAAATTGAAAATAAAGCAAAGAAGAGGCAGTAGGATGATTGGAGAGTTAAGGCACTTAGTGAAGGAATAGAGGAATTTGATATTTTATATAAATTAAATACTAATATTGAATACTTAGATAAAACTGATCTACTACTTTCTGGTTACCTATGATGAAAATAGTACCCTGAATGGTAATTTAAGAAGCAGATCAAAGAGAAAGGAGATAGGAGTAAAGCCAGAATTGACTGGGTACTATATAGATAGTATATTCTATGACCTTTCTTTTACCCATTTCTTCAAAGAATAGAACAAGAGATGGAACGAGAGGTATAGGCAGTAGAAGATAATACCTCTGCCCACTTAACTGTAAAAGAGCAAGAAAAGACTGAAAGAAAGAAATTCGGAATACATACTGTAGATTAGCCTACTCAATCCTCTAATTTGAATCAAATTGAACTACTATAGAACTATTTACAGGATGCACTGGAGAAGTACAAGTTTACTGCCAGTGGCCAAAGTTAAAATACTAAGAAGTAGGTAAAAAGGGCTTTGGTAGCTGAATAATGTAAGATACTAATTGACTTAATCAATCATCACTATTTGGATCTTCAAAATAAGCTTCAAGTTGAACTGGTTATTAGGAATAAGAAAGACAATAATTTTCATGGATAGTTGTATGGCCTATTCTTTTTTTCTTCCTTTTTTCCTTCTGGGTTCCTTGGTTCTTATTTTCTTTTTACTATATTTTCTTGCCTCACTGTCTTATTTGGAAACTGTAAGAGATTTGGGATAGCAGGCTGTGCATATTACTATGAGCTAAAGATGGAGGTATCTTGCTCAGTTGGGGTATTAACAAGATGTGTCACTCATTACAATGTGCTGCTATTACCTCTCAGATTTCATATAACAGATAGATGAATCGATCATACTTGTAGTATTATATAGGTTGATCGAAACTGTGCTATTCAGGTTGGTTTCAAACCTTGGCACACTGCAGATTACTTGGAGTTCAGTTACCTAACTGGTTCCTATTATTTTATTATAATAGATAATAGTCTTATATTTAATAATAATAATTATTATATAATAATTTTAATAATTATAAGTTCTCTAAGAGTCTAGCTAGTACTTTTTGAGGACAGATATAGTAGTAATAGAGGCTTCTACTAGCAAATACAGGAAATATGATTTTGTATGTCTTCTAACTTTGAAGAATTATAGAATGTTTGCAGAACTTAGTAATATCAAAGTAGACTGACTGGTAAAGAAAAGTTAATTAAGTTAGGAATAAAGACTTATATTTAATCTATTTAGTTAGTAAGTAAAAAGGATCTATCAGGCAAGCTAGTATATCTAAAGATCTAGGTCAATAGAGCTACTACATATATGTATATATCTTGACAAATACCAAGAACCTTATATTATGTAATTTTAATATTATACTATTTTCAAGACAAGATTCTGCAATTTGGAAGATAAAGATCCAATTTTTTCTACCTGGAATTCAACTAATACTTGTCTCAGCTTCCTCCCATTTAAAAAAAACTACTAGAATCCTAATTTTGGCTCTTGTTCTCTACTGGATGGTTTTTTATAAATTATAAGATATCACTTGCTAGTCCCTCTGATAGCAATCACTTTACTAGTATTATTTTTGTTTATAAATATCATAACTGAGTCAACGCTCTTAGCTGTTCCAAAAAGAACCTTTTTTGGAGTAGTAGGAGAGTAGCAGTTGCCAATTTTCTTACTTTCAAAATCCTCATAATAGTAATACATAATTAGAGATAAGACATTACAGTCTTATATGGTGCAACGCATATGAAACATACACCTGGGTAGGTGTACCTATGTAACTTGAATGCCTATACTAGATAATAATTAAGGGTTGTAAATACTTAAAATGAAATTGCAAGGTAGAAAGTTCAATTCTTTGCCAAATCAATTTTCTTATACAATTAGCATAATACAGTCACTAGACAAAAGTCTTGGTAATCGCTACCGGTGAGACAAAGTCTGTGCACTGAACAAGCACTGCTCCAGCATGGCATGAGTTGAATAGCTACTGTAGCCCAACGATATTGTGGGAGATTAAATCTTAAAGTTACTAGTAAAAGGGCAAATAATTAATCAAGAATACACTCTTGTAAATTTGTAAATCCTACAGGTACTTTATATACCTCTACTTAGCCTCTATCACACCATCCTTCATAAACTGCATAAACATTCACAGATTTCTAATGAAGCTGACAGATATCTATCAAACCTCAGTTAGGACAACAAGCTTAAGATTCAAGATCCACAAACCTATACCTGTGTGAGAAAACATTAAATGGTCAACTGTAGATAAGAAAAGATAGATACAGAATAGCTGTCTACTAGGAACATCAACCAAGATGCCACTGGTGAAAATGACTTAAAAGACAAATAAAAGGCCTACAACCATGGCTCTCCCAGAACTTGTCCTCTCTTGGAGCTGTAGTGCTGTCTTTTTTAGGAGGAACTATTATGATGGGCAATGTAAAGAAAGCAGGCTTGAGTGTGGTGTGATTTCAAACGGGGGTGTTTTATCCTCGCTTAGCCATGGCTGACTAAGCTATCACCAAGACTTTTATCTAGTGGCTGTACTATAATATACTACGATAGGTATGATCTTACTCTAGGTGGGAACAGAACTTATATTATAGAATAAGTAGTAAAATATCTGAAACTGTGGATCCAAGTTGAACTTTCTATCTTGCTAATTCCTTTTAGGCATTTACAATCCTCAACTCTCATCAAATATAGGTATTACATGGGTGCACCCACCCAGGTGTACATTTTATAATGTTTTTATTAAAACAGACTATGGCTGGACCTAGTGTTTTGGTGTCATCATCAGAAACTATCAGTGTTTGGAAATCTATCACATCCACTAGAAGTGGATAGTGGAAGTAGGTATCAATTGTAATCAAATAAGTGGTATGAGAACTGGAACAGTCCAGTGTTAGATATTAGTCATGATACTTGATTTGTTTCTATCTTGTTCAAAGAATCAGGACAGCGACAGATTTCTTACTTCTTATTGTTTTATCCTTTGCATTCCTTTCTCATCGTGTTCTCTCTAACTCTCTGTAAAAGACTCTGTATGTTGCTGTTCTTTTCCTAGAGTTCTCTATCAAACCTATTTGTTTCTTTCTTTGTCAGATGATATTGATCTCTACTCATTATTTTATCACTCTCACTGTTCTTGAATAGAAGTAAATATACTGACATTGATATGCTTGTTCCATATTCTTCACACTTTGCACTATACAGGGAAAAAGGGTGATAAACAGTTAATTTAAGTTAACTCACAAGCTCTCTCCTGTGTCCTGTTTTGTATGAGAACATAGTCGAGTATTGCCTGGTATCCGCATACCGTATCATAACTTTAGCAACCGTGTTTGAATACAGACAAAGAGATGGGACAGAACCCTCCAGAAAAAAGTGCAGCACGTGATGCTAGGAGGAATCATGACGTCAGCAACGGGCAGGGGGGCAATGGCATGCATCTCGCCCTAGCCGCCATTTTGTCTACAAATCCTCCAAACCCGGTAGCAATAAACACTACCACCACTCAGAGAGTCCGCAACGGCCTCAACAAACAGGAAAACCAGCAACCGATACAACAAACATGTTCAGAATCCTCACCCGCGAAGCAGTCAAGGCTATTCCCCGACAATTTCGTCTCTCCACCGGTGCCTTACGCTTCGTCCATAGTGAGCGTCTTCCGTACTCTGGTCCTGCAACTTACGATACACTCATGCGACGCTTTTCCTCCGACATCGACCCCCATGCCTATGTCATCCGCAAGCACCAGCAAGAGGCTCAAGAGCATGGTGAATTCATAGACATCCACGATATCGGTAATCTGGACCCGGAGAATTATACTTTCACGATTCCAGATGTTGATGATCGGGTTTTGCGAGGCGAAATTGCTGAGGTAGTGGGCATACCATACCATACAAAGGCAACTGCATAGGACGCTGGCAGGGATATTGAGACTGGCTATTGTTACCTCTATGGCCGAACTATTCGCATGATATTTCCGGCAGTTGTTGGCGATGGTACTCGTGCTCATTGGGTTTTTTTTATTGTGGACACCGCAGCTCCATTGACTTACCTTTCAACCCAGGTAAGTGCTCCTCCCTGCTAAAAGGAGGCCCACTGCTAACTACTCTAGACGAGTGACTTCTTTGGTATCACGAAAAAACTACCATCGCCCCACCGTGTCACGATTGCCGGATACCCCCATGTGGTCTACAGGTCACCTAGCAGTGGAACGTTTTCCAATATTAATATCCTCGGCATGGATTTCCTCCGTCTGAATCAAATTTCTCTGTGGAACGATTTCGAGAAGCACCAGGTCAGAATGCCCTTTGGTCAGAAATGGGAGCCACATAGGAAGGCCAAGCAATAGTTCTGCGGACAGGCGATAGGCAGCGGAAATAGGTGATGGGGCAATTTTTTTCTTTCCTAATTCTTCTCTTTCTACGACCGAATACTGCAATATCTTGCCTAGTACGCTAGCTTAGGCACTGTTGAAGAGGTGAATGGGCTTGTGGGGCAGTATATAGATATTCGTCATCATGCTAGCGTTTTTTTTGTTGCTCTGGACTCTTTATCATTCATAGTGGAATGTTCGTCTCTGGCATAGACTACTCGAGTACACGCACAGTTCTTGCATCAAAACCCATGCAGGAAAAGAAATTCGATGGCTGCCGAAAATGTGAGCATGGAAGTTGGTTTGCTCGAATAATGGTTGGCTTGCAGTTATGCTGATAGCGACCCACCATGCAGTTGCCGCCCTTGTGTGTAGGCGCTGGCATTTTGGAGCCCCGCCCTTGGAAACCTTGAGAAGAACATTAACCGGAAAAGATACCCTCAGGAAGCAGTTGCTGTCTCCCACCTCGTCCCCGAGCGCACTCTCGAAAAGCATCGCTCAAAAGCGCTCGGACCCCCAAAGACCACCCACCTCAAAACCAAACGACGCTTTTTGTTCATCCTTCATTGCTGAAAGATCGCAATCTATCACAGCTACCCCCTTACGCTTCCCTCTCTTAGGCCTACAACATCCCTTAAGAAAAGAAATGGAAGAGCCCTTCTCTCTGGCTGCTAGTGGCATTGCCCTCATTCACCTCGGCGTGAAGGTTTACAAGCTTTGCGATGACTACTGCAATGTAGTCAAGGAGAGCCAACAAGATTTCAAGAAGCTGGGTGACGAGGTTAGGAGTATCGACCGACAGCTGAACGAAATACGAAGCCTTGCTGTGCAAGGCGATGAGAACAATCCGCAATACCCTGAGCTTCTGGAATGGACGAAAAATCAAAGTTTGAAAGATTATAAGACAACTCTTGATGAGCTGGAGAAGAAGTTAGATGTTCCGGAATGGAGGAAATCCTCGAGGAAGTTCCTTTGGCCTTTCAGTAAACCCAAAATGGAGCGTTACCTGGGCTTGGTTGAAGAGCAGAGATCGAAACTTCATCTATTGCTAAGCACAGCTACAACGTAGGTTATCCATTCTTCAGCCGCCTAAGAATCTAAATTCTCCACTTCCTTTTCGTTTTGGTGTCAAGACTAACCAGTTGTTTAGGAAGACGGTAACAAAGGTGTTACGAAAGCTAGATGGTACTTGGTCACACTATCCCTAACCCTGCCAATTATTCTCTTTTTCTAATACCGGATATTCCGAAAACCATAGAAAAGGAATTCCGAGAAGTACAGAAGTGGCTTAACGTCGTAGATCCTGCCTCCAATTATGCATCTGCGCTTTCAGTTCGTGCAACCGGTGTGGAAGTGTCTCAGTTGACTTCCGGATTTTGGATGGTGTGATTGACCGAGCTGATACCTGTGCAATTATGGTAACTGTACAACGTAATATTCGATCGGATAAGAGTGTAGAATTTATACTGATAAAGTTGACAGTAAAACACAGTGAGAAAGCAAGCGAAAGGAGTGGGGAAAACAACACCCAGAAACAACAGTAAAGAAGGTGGTGGTGTTGGTTGTACAGGATAGGTTCTCGCTGTGTTGTTCCTCCGCTCTCTCTGAGGAAGGCAAGGCCATGCCTCCAGGTGAAAAACAGCCACCTGCTAAGCCTCATCCCAAACAGAAAATTCTATGGGCAAAAACCCAGTAAACATGACCAGAAAACCCCTAAAACCTTCCTCGTACCACACCGGTACCGGGAATTGGCTACTCAAGGGACCCGATTACATCAACTGGAAGGAAGGCAGAGGGGGGGTTCTCTGGCTCCATGGTATACGTATGTCTAGATATGAGTGGGCCTTTATGCTTCGAAGAATCGCTAACATTTGTGTCCCCTAGCTGGATGTGGCAAGAGTGTACTGAGGTGCGAACTTAACCGGGTATCCAGAGGTGCGATCTGATTTCTTTGTTGCTAACTCACTCTTTAGTGCTACTGCTATTCAAGATGTCGAACATCTGTGCGAGGCGAGCACCGATCATGCATTAGCCTATTTCTACTTCACCTTCAGCGACTCCGAGAAGCAGAAATTGTCCAATATGCTTCTATCGCTTATTGGCCAACTTCCAAAAAGTCCTTCAGATCGAGGTTTGCCGGGTGAGGTCGTAGACCTGTATAATGGCACCAAGGCAATTGGAAAGTCTGGGGGTACCGGGGCTCTGAAAAATCTATTGTCGCAGATTATAAAAGGTTTTAGGAAGACGTTTATCATTTTGGATGCACTAGACGAAGTTCCTAAGTCCGAGAGGAAGGACCTCTTATCTTGGCTCACTGAGCTAGTTGCCGGCGGCGATCCGGGATCACTTTCCATTCTCATAACTAGCCGTCCCGAGGCCGATATAGTAAGATCCGTGGAACCTCTTTCCACTTTTACAATACCCCTGCAATCCAAAACAATCGATCCAGATATCCAATTTTATATCCGGAACTCTCTAGATAGTAAGGATGAATTCCGGGAATTTACTGAGGAAATCAAGAGTGAGGTAGAGAAAACACTCGTTACGGGTTCACAGGGAATGTAAGTTATGCTCAAATTTTGAATCATCAACTTGCGCTGATATAATGGTGGACATGTTAAGGTTCAGATAGGTGGATTGTCTCTTACGAATTCTGGAAACATGTTTGGCACCAGACGACGTAAAAGCCGCGTTGAAGGAATTGCCTAAAGACTTGGATTCTGTCTATGCTGGGATCCTGGGGAGCGTCGATGAGAAGCAGAGGATATACATTCAGCGAGCGATGCATTGACTCACATTCTCGGCGGAACCATTGACATTGGGTCAGCTTGCGGAGGCTGTGCGGATCGAGTACGATGTTGATAAATATGGCGAGGATTCTAAACCACTCTTCAACATGAGCTCTCTCATGAGCATTTGCCCTAGCCTTATTTCCTTTGAAGATTCCACGCACGACGAATCCTCCTCACAGGAGAACCGCAGATTACGACTAGCACATTTCTCGGTAAAAGAATATTTGATCTCCGACCGGGCGGCTCAGGGACCTAGTGCCTACTGTCATATTTCGGAGGATAAAGCCAATTTACTGATGGGGCATGCTTGTCTCAGTCGAATACTGCGACATAGTGCACCAGGGACTAGGAGCGGGAAAAGGGTTGAGGAAACATCATTTCTCTACCACAGTGCTAGCTATTGGTCTGTGTATACCAGATCTATTGAAGATACGGCACCCGCACCACTCTCCGACGCGGTGGTGAGGGTTCTCGAGCTTGGCAATGAGTGGCTAGATATATATAATCCTGACGACCCTTACAACAACGGCTCCTGGATTTACCCACCGGCAATCTACTATTCCTCCTTACTAAATCTAGTGACAGCCTGTGAATTCCTAGTCAATAGAAAAGCGGATACAATAAACGTGAATGCTGAGGGTGGCAAGTACGGCAATGCACTACAGGCAGCTGCATACAAGGGAAACGAATCGGTTGTGCGTCTTCTCCTCGAGTGTGGGGCGGAGGTGGATGCGAAGGGTGGCTATTATGGAAATGCACTACAAGTAGCTGTAATTCAGGGAAATAAATCGGTTGCGCGGCTTCTCCTCGAGAGTGGGGTAGAGGTGAATGCGAAGGGTGGCCATTATGAAAATGCAATACAAGCAGCTGCATACGAGGGAAACGAATCAGTGGTGCGGCTTCTCCTCGAGAGTGGGGCAGAGGTGGATGCGAAGGGTGGCTTTTACGGTTGTGCGGCTTTTCCTCGAGAGTGGGGCAGAGGTG